TTTTTCCATTTCATTTGTATAGGCTTTTTGTTCTTGGTTAGATTTATTCCTAAATATTTTATATTTTGGTTGTCTATGAAAAGGCATCTTTAAAGTAGTAAAAGGCAAAGCTGTCTCTTTGATGACTAAGGTGCACCTCACCCAAGTCATGATTCTTTACACTCATCTCATATGCAAAGCTGCGTAATGTGAAAAAGAAGAGAGAAGATGTGATGAATTTGAGGTGTTGGCAATGGGTATTAAATAACCCATGTATTGCCAGAAGAGTCAGTAAGTAGCCTTAAAAGAAATACAAGAAATTTCCTTAGAAGCTAGAATGCCAATGTTTTCCTTACTTTGGATTTGTCACCAGGAAAAACCAGTTCTTACTAAAGTACGTCATATTGACAGAGTTGAAGGTAGTAAAAACAAAGAAAACTCTGGATGAGATGGCTTGACACAGGGGCTGCAACAATGGCCTCACACATACCAAAGTTTCTGAGTACGGCTCTTGACCTGGCAATTTCAAAAGTCACCACGAATCTATGCCAACTAAGTGGCAGTTAACACAATTACAATATGGCCTTACTATCTCAATAAATTATCTGGACTTTCATGTAGGTCATGGTTCATCAGAATTCCAGATAGTCACTTTGGCTTTTCTCCTGCTGTATTTTTGCACTCACTGTTGAAATAAATTAAAACTTAAAAAAAAATTCTTCGGTCATTAACAAGCTAAACATGTACCCCAAGCAATAAATTTGAAATGGGAGTTTGACCTAATCAAAGTTGTGAAGACAGCCTAAAACCTGCTGTATTTTACCTGCCACATGTTTCATTTATCAGAGAACACACTCGAAATAGGGAAAGTCAACACATCTGCAAACATGTTACTTTTAACCTCAGAAAAAATGTCAAACAGGGAAGAAGTTAGGGAGTGCAAGAGGGCTTTAAAATGTTCACAGGAAACGTCTAATAACATTTAATTTCATTTTCCATGCACTTTCTGAAGAGCCCTAGTACAATGTCAAACCACTACCACCACAATTTGCAGTAGATACAGACTTTCCTTCTAGCACTGAAAGCTCAGTTTTAACTTGTATGCTTTGAACGATGGGAAGAACTCCTCAATATTTCATGTCTTACACACAGGGAAAATTCTGGGGGGACATGGGCCAAATGTTCAGGTGCTGAATCTTAGGTTATTCTTGTGTGTGTGTTATGCTGAGTTTACTGTTTTGAAAATAGGTTCCTTATGCTGTGAGACACTAGCCTTGTTTTTGAAAAGCGTTTTGTGGACAGGGATGGTTCCATCCGGTGATGTACTGAAGAAAAAGGAAGGGGGTTCTCATGTTGCTGGAGGGTTATGATATTGCAGACACCAGGCCAAGTGCCTGACGTAATTCTTCATCTCCCTCAGACAACAGCATTATCTCCATTTTGCAGATACGGCGAGAGAGGCTCAAAAAGCTAAAATTGCCTGTCTCTATCAGTAGCTGCTAAGGGGCAAAGAAGGCAGGATTTGGTCCATGTTTATCATGAACACTGGATGGGATCATGAAAATAGGCATTCAATTCTAACAGATGTAGTTATTGTTTTTAGCTGCCATAAATCAGGGTTCCCTTGCACAGAGGATTGACCCCTCTTAATGATGTGTCCAAAGAATGTGAACCAGATGATATTTTGTTGTGGTCTATAAGGTTTTTATTGGCTAATTGTCTGAAATAGATCCCCCGGTCTTTCTTCCCAGTCTGTCTGAGTCTGGTATATTGTGTTCCTGCTGGTATTTGAAATATCAAGGGCATAACTTGCAGCATGGCAGCAATTCAAAAGCAAGCAAAGTATAACGAAATGACAGAGAGGTGGTAGCGTACATTGTATGTTGTTGTAGTTGTTAGGTACCATTGAATCGGTTCCCATTCATAGCAACCCTCTGAGCAATCAAGTGAAGCCCTGCGCCCCCTCACGATCCACACCTGAAGGTACTCAGAACACACTAAGGAAGAAAGAAGCACACAGACTGCGTTAGCAGACTACAACTGGTACATTGATTTCTCACTGGATTTGTAGCCCACTACTGGCATGCAAAGGACCACCTATTTGTTCAGAATGAAGATAGCCATTTCTCTTCTATGCCATCGCTTCACATAAAAAATTAAACACATGAGGGAGGGGAGGGGAGGGAAGGGGGAAAATGAGAAGCTGATACCAAGGGCTCAAGTACAAAGAAAATGTTTTGAGAATGATGATGGCAACAAATGTACAAATGTGCTCAACACAATGGATGGATGAATGGAGTGTGATAAGAGTTGTATGAGTCCCCAATAAACTGATTCAAAAAATTAAACAGGTATCATATTGTATAAGAATGCGAAAGTGGGGGACAGACAGCTGAGAAGTGGGTGAAGGGAGACGTCGGACAGGGCAAGATATGACAAAATACCCATTTATAAACTATCAAGGGCTCATGAGGGAGGGGGGAGCGGGGAGGGAGGGGAAAAATGAGGACCTAATGTCGGGGGTTTGAGTGGAGAGAAAATGTTTTGAGAATGATGTACAAATGCGCTTTACACAATTGCTGTGTGTATGGATTGCGCTAACAGTTGTATGAGCCCCTAATAAAATGTTTAAAAAAAAAAAGAATGCGAAAATATCTCTATTTTGAAACGTGCTATCATATTTGCATGTTAGTAGGTGTTGAGTTGGCTTCAGCTCATAGAAACGCTCTGCTCACAAGAATGACACACTGCCCACTCTCCCATCCTCACCATTGTGTTTCCAGGCCCAGACAAGTGAGGGCTCCCAGGGCTTCATCAGCTTGCTGAAACGTTTCAATGGGTGTTCCATGAATTCCTGGAGCCTAGTTTGTGGCTAATGCTTTCAGTGCAGCATGAACTTCTTCCTTCAGGACTTTTCGTTCTTGCTCATATGCCACCTCCAGAAATGGTGGAATACGGACTAGTTCTTTTTTTTTTTTTTCAGAACAAAAAATCATATCATTGTGAATAAGGTGGGGAGTGCAGGGTGGAGACCCAAAGCTCATTTGTAGGCTACTGGACATCCCCTTACAGAAGGGTCTCGGGGAGGAAACAGTACATCTTCTTTGTCTTTTGATGCTTCCTGCATCATTCGACAGTTTACCCGTTAGATCTTTCAATATTATGACTCAAGGCTTGTATCTTTTCTTGAGTTCTTCCAGGTTGATATGCTGAGGGTGTTCTTCCATTTTGGTTTTCTAACTCTAGGTTGTTCACATTTCATTATAATATTTGACTTTGTCTTTTCAAGTGTCCTTTGAAATGTTCTGTTTGTCTCCCTGACTTTATTATTTCCCCCATTTGCCTTAGCTACTCTATGATTGAGAGCAAGTTTCAGAGTCTCAGGTGACATCCACTTTGATCTTTTCCTTCTTTCTTGTCTTTTGAATCCCTCGTGTATGGTGTTCTTGAGGTCTTCCCCATCAGGCCTTCTGTCATTAGCGTGCAATGCAGCAAGTCTGTTCTTGAGATGTTTTCAGGTAGCATAGACTCAAGGTCATATTTTGGCTTGTGTGGACATGTTTTCATTTTCTTCAGCATCAACCAGATCTCACATGAGCACTGGTGTTCTGCTCCACAGTCTGCTCTGGCCTCAGTTTAACCTCTGACAGTGAGCTTCTCCATTGTCTAATCCCACAGATGTAGTCTATTTGATTTCTGTGTATCCCATCTGGAGAAGTCCACGCATATAGTTGTGTTTCAAAAACACAAACAAGTCCTATGAACAAGTCATTTGTCTTGCAAATTTCTATCATGTTATCTTCAGCCCCATTTTTATCACCGAATCCATGGTTTCCACCTCCTATTCCTTCCTCTTTGTTTCCAACTTTTGCATACCAATCATTAGTGATTATCAATGCACATTGATTGAGTGTGTGATTGATTTCAGCATGAAGACACTGGTAGAATGCTTCAGTTTTTGCATCACTAGCTTTTGTGGTTGGTGCATACATTTTAATAGCTGCACTGATTGGATTTTCTTCGATGGAGATAGATATAATCCTATCACAGACAGACTGCATTGTACTTCAACATAGATCTTGAAATGTCCTTTTTTGACAATGAATACAAACCACACTCCTCTGGATTGTGTCATTCCTAGCATAGTAAACCATATTATGATTTTCTGATTCAAAATGGCCAATACCAGCCATTTCTGCTCAGTGACACCGAGGATATAGATCTGTATGCATTCCATTTCATTTTTGATGGCTTCCAATTGTCCTAGATTCATATTTCATATATTCCAAGTTCCTATTATTAGTAGAGCTCTCCAGTTGTTTCTTCTCATTTTGACTTGTGCCCATCAGCACAGGAAGGTCCCAGCAAGCTTTACTCCCACAGGCTTTACTCCATTCATGTTATGTGGTCAATTTTACTTTGAGAAGGCAGCTAGCTCCTCCCTGATCATATTCTGGTGGTCTTCTTACTTGAGGGGTTTATCTTCTGGCACTATCTCTGACAATGCCCTGTTTCTCTTCAGTAAGCCTTCAGTATCTGACAGTTTTTCAGTTCTGCATATGAGGTTTTCAGTAGCTAAGTCCTCTGAAGTGGACAGCCAATTCCTGCTTTGTACTCTGCTCTTAGTCTGAAAGCTCTGCTGAAGCCTATTCACTTTGGGCGACCCTGCTGGCATTGGAAACACCAGTGACATCACTTCCACCATCACAGTAAGACAGACTGACAGATACGTGGTGCAGAGTATATTTTATCGATGAGGAAAATGGAACCAAGATGCTACCCTGACCTCAAGTGAATAGTTGGCAAATTGAAGAAGCGTGTTACTGCGGTCTCTCAATGTGTTGTCCTTCCTACTCCATCTAGCTATTTAAGAAAAGTCTCCTGCATGGGACCACCCAGACTCTCCAGTACAGGAGGGTCACTCCCTGGGGGCTGTAACACTCAGCTAGTTTGGAACTGCCCCCACTCCGTTTAAGAAGTCGTGCTGTTGGCTAATTTCTTTCATTTCTTTCTTTGTGTAGTTCAACATGAATGCAAGTGAGTTTCGTAAAAGAGGCAAGGAGATGGCGGACTACATAGCTGATTACATGGAAGGCATTGAGGCACGCCAGGTTTACCCGGATGTGGAGCCTGGCTATCTTCGTCCCCTGATCCCTGCCAGTGCCCCCCAGGAGCCCGAAACCTTTGAGGACATCATGACTGATGTTGAGAAAATCATCATGCCTGGGGTGAGTCTACACCTGGGAGAAAAAGGCAATCTGAAGCTCCATCAAAGATCAGAGGAGGGAGGGCTGGTGATGTTTAGCTCCTCCTGGTGATGTTTAGCTCCTGTGGCCACTTCCATTCATTGTCGCTCCAAATACTCACGTCGGTTTGATTGGGGAGAATTGTTATCGTGTCTGTTTCTTAGCTGAGGGAATTAAGGCTCAACAAGGTTATGTAACTGAATAGAGGTCACCTCACTACTGATTGATGCAAGAATTCAAACTCAGACTACCCATAAATGCTCCCTCCTCCACAGCCCCTGCTGCTAAGATGTTTGCGTGCACGTGTGATAGTCAGGGGAAACAAGTCGCTTGTTGCTGTTTCAACACTAATCAATGATCAGGAATCTGTTACCAACGCCCTGTCCCGCCCCAACCACAGTGCCCTTGCATAAACAGCTTCACTGGAAATTTTTATCAGACATTCAAAGAATTGATACGAATCCTACTCAGACCCTTCCACGATTCAAAAAAGTAAGGACTATTTCCTAACTCATTCCACAAAGTCAGCATCACCCTGATTCCATAGTCAGAAAAAGACATTGCAAGAAAAGAAAATGACAGCTTTCTTATGTGATTAGATGCAAAATTTCCCAATAAAATTCTAGTGAGCAATATGCAACAACACATTAAGAGATTTATACCAGGAAAAGTGGAATTTATTGGAGAAATGCAAAGATGGTTCAACATTAGGAAGTCAATTGATGTAATTGGCTTTAAATGCACACAAAAAAGAACCATATGTTTATTTCAACAGGTGCAGAAAGGCATCTGATAAAATCTAATACCCTTTCTTGATGAAACTTTCAATAAGATAGGAATAGAAGGGAAATTCCTTAACATAAATTAAGGGCATCTGACAAAAATCAATATCATCCATTAAAATTTTAAAATAACCTGAGCTTGTGCCAGAAGAGACTCTTAAACTTGTTCTTGAATGTAGAGTAGCTAAAATAACTATAAGAAATGATGGAAATAAACAGTATATATGGAAGTGAACAGTATATTTCAAAAGGCATCATGAGAAGTTAAAGCAAAGTATATTAATGAAATGTAGAAAGCCTGGAGTTAAAAAAAAAACAACAAAAACCCCAAAAGGACAGAATATGCTCAACATATATAAAGCTGAAATAATTAGAAAAAATCCAAGCTTCACATTGAATATTGAAGGATTACACGGGCAAAGTATTGAGTGACACAGGAAGTATCAAAAGAAGATGGGACATTGTAAAATAGATTATGGCAGGTGCAGTTAGGTTAAAATTTCACATATTATTTTATCTTCCCTTTCACCTCTTTAAAGTTGTTCTAGTTTTTAATACTTTCTACTTTCTTTTCCATAAGGTTTTCCTATTTTATTTTGTTAGTTTTTGTTGGTTTGGGGTATGTTTCTCTGTATATGAGACCCGGGATAGGGAAATGTATAGAGACAGTAACTGGACTAATGGTTTCTTGGGGGTATGGAAGGCGATATTGGCATGAAATGGGGAGCTACTAACAATGAGTCCAAGAAAGAAGGAAATTTTCTAAAATTGATTGTGGTAATGACTGTGCTTCTTCGTTCAATTGAAATATTGAATTGTATGATATGTGAATTATGTGCTAATAAAACTGTTTTTTGTTAAAAAAAAAAAAAAAAAGAAGATGGATGAGATACACAGAATCCCTGTAACAAAAGATTTGGTCTAGCGGTTGAAAGGAAGAATATGATCAAGAACTGATGGTTTTGAAGGAAGAAGTCCAAACTGCAGTGAAGACATTAATAAAACGCTGGGCTCCAGGAATTGAGAAAAGCAACTGATATGTTTCAATAAGCTTATGAAGGACTGGAAGTCCTCACTTGTCTATGCTTAAAAATTTGGAAAACCACTACTTGGCCAAGCAACTGGAAGAGATCCACTAGTGTGCCTATTCCAAAGAAAGGTGACCCAATAGAATGTAGAAATTATGAAACAATATCATTAATATCACATGCAAGTAAAATTTTGCTGGAGATAATGAAAAAAATCTGAAGCCAGAAACAAGAATGGGATGTGGGATGCCATTGCTGATGTCAGATGGACCTTGGTTAAAATCTGTGTTTGATTGACTATGCAAAAGTATTTCACTATGCATCCTAACAAGCTATGAATAACACTGTGAAGAATGAAAATTACAGTGCAGTTCATGTGCTCATGTAGAACCCATACGTTGACCACAAGCAGTCATTTGAACAGAACAAAGATTTAAAATCGGGAAAGGGGTGTGTCAGGGTTGTATCTTTCCAGGATTCATATTCAATCTGTATGCTGGTCAAATAATCTGAGAAACTTAACTATATGAAGAAGAATGTGAAGGAAGGCTAATTAACAGCCTCCAATATGCAGATTACACAATCCCCCCCCACCCCCCCGAAAGCAGAGGACTTGAATTATTTACAGATGATCAACAAATTCTACAATATAATTCTATGGATTATACTTCTAACACCAAGAAAATAAAAATCCTCACAAATGGAATAATAGACAACATCATGATAAACAGGAAACCATTGAAGTTGTCAAGGATGTCATTTTACTTGAATCCACAATAAATGCTCATGGAAACAGCAGTAAAGAAATCAAGTGCTATATTGCATTGGGCAACTCTACTACACAGGATGTCTTTAGAGTGTCAGAGAGAAAGGTTGTCACTTTTAGGACGAAGGTCCCCTGATCCAAACTAGATCAGGTGGAGCCTATTTCTTCTTCTTTTTAAAAAAAACCATTTTATTGGGGGCTC